TTCATACATATAAATATATCAAAGAATGTTTAGACCTTAGAACAAGTAGTATTAGTTGACTCATCTATTGTTTTATACGTAGGTTAATTTCGTTGTACCCATATAATTGTCTGTATACCTACATGTACTCTTAGACCTTACGAAAGTTGCTGTACTTTTTGTTGTGTCAATAAAGTTCATTATCTTTGCGCTTCCTTTAGAAATCCGTAAGTATTATTTACATTTTTGTGGCCATGTTTCTGTCCAAGCATAGGAATTACACGATACAATCCCTGCTAACAGCCGGGCAGTCTGCAGAACTGACCTTTGAGACGCTTGATGGCGACTACACCAGGTAGTCTTGTACTCCCCGTGTTCTCGGTGACTGTTGCCTTGTACACCTTCCCAAACGCGCCGCTGCCGATCGCCTTTGTGTCGATGTTTAAGATCGCTCGGCTGATCTCCCATTCCAAAAATTTCGACTTGGCCCTGATGTGAAGGTCATCTTTGATGAAACTCTCTACAATGTATGGACTTCGTGTTTGAGCTGTGAGAAGAGAAACGTAAACACGTCGTTATGAAGTATTAAACTTATCATTCAGCTAATTATGACCAAAAGTGGTTAAATGTTCTATCCAACACGAGTAAATTGGGACTAACCCCGAATTTTTGACCGACTCCATCAGCCTTCTTCACGGAAATGGTGGTGGAGATGGTCGAAACTTTGGGGTAAGTCCCAGTTTACCCGTGGTGGATAGAACGTTTAACCCCTTTTGGTCATAATGAAGTTTACCAACACAGATGAACGTTCATGCTAATATTCATCTATTTGTTTGACTGGCATACATGTCCTATCGCAGGGAAGAAGCTTAGTGCTCATTGTCATCCGAGTCAAGTGCCTTTTCCAAGGTCACGGAAACCGTGGCTTCTTAAGTGTGGGCCATGTTCTTATTACGTTCACTCGTATTACGTTCACATTAAAGTTGAACCAATTTTTGTATCGTTATCTGTCTTAGTTTAAAAAAACTTTACACATACTCCGACCTTGTTATTTACATGAAGGTTTAGACATGTAAATATCCTTACCACACGCAGACAGTCATACATATCTCCACACGTTAACGTAATCTCTATCGATAGCATGAAACTCGGTGTAAAGAACAGCTAAGAACTGCGAATTCATGAAGAACTACATACAAGGCCATTTCATCTGCATACATGTACATGTATAAATTGCAGGGGCGAAAAATATGGGGATGATTTCTTTTGCTTGATTAGGATTGTAGAAGGATCCCACGATTGTAGAAAACTCCCCAGGGTCGGTACTTACCCAGATCGCTGATTCCCCGCACGGTGCTCAGGTCAAAGTCAGGCCCGGAGATTTTGGGCGCACATTTGGAGGTGGTGCGGAGGTAGAACCACAGCGGCGAGCCGACCAGTACCAGCGTGCATGCCGCCACGCCGAGAACGATCAGGTACGCGCTGCTGCTGTCACCTGGGAGGATCAGGGATCATGAATACACGTTAAGCCAGGCACTGCGTTTCCATATGGTACATCTTAGCACGTCAGCAGAACTATTGCGAGTGCGCGAAACCCGTAGTCTATGGTGCATAGCACATTTCAGGTCGTATATTTGCGTAATAGCCTTCTACAACAGGCAAACTTCTGATGCATTGATGACCAAACATCCAACGAAAACGGTGAAAACATCAAGTTTTGCGCAGGCGCAGTACGTGAACACACTTACACAAACACACACACACAAACACAAACACATATACGTGTGCACATATATCATATAAAAGTACGTAGTGAAGCATCCTCACCTTCATGAGTGATTTGTTTTTTACACGTGTTCCCCTGCCAGCCGGGCTCACACCGTTCCTGTGGACATGTGCCGGTATGAGGATCACACGTGACCCCGTCCTGACAGTGACCACAGGTCTGACTACAGCCTGCACCGTATGTCCCGCCTGCGCACTCTGAAACGTACAATCACTTTCTACCGTGGCCAACAGGTACAGTGTTGAAACATAACATCTAGGAATTCGGACTACATGTATGTATGTTATAGGGTCAGAAGACAACACCGTGTGGGGTCGTGTGGCGTAGCGGCAGACCTCTTGGCGCCGGGTCGAGTCCTGATGACATGCCACCTATCTTGTGCCCTTAATTGGGAAAGGCACTTTACATGTCTTTCTCCACTTCGCTCAGGTGAAAATGAGTATTGTACTGTCTCGTGTGTTGGTGGCGGCATTAATATAAGTTGGAAAAACTTGAGTGTGCCGTCACCACGCCTTGTGATTACATGTTGGAGTACTAAAAAAAAGATAACACCTACTGACTTTTGAGACAATTGTTCATTACTTTTTACCCTAATATATACAATCCGAATCTCTAGATGTTATACTTGAACGTGTTTTAGTTCGTTGTACCTGTCGGCCACGGTAACGTTCAATATTTGAGAAGCCGTCACAACAAATGCACGCACAGAGGAAACATTTCATGAAAAAAACCCAGCCAGAGGTCGGAAGACGGGGGTCAGATAAATCAGCTCATACTTTGTACGTGTAAAAGGGATTGTGGAACTAGGTACAACCATATATTTTTTAACCCTCAAGCTATTTTCCATTATGGAGTTCTAAAATCCCCTTGGACACCCACGGAAGTCATACAATTACGGCTGAAATTTGATGAAATTGTAATGAAATATTGTAATAAAGATATGAACATTTGTTTTATAATGCCATATAAGATCCCATAGGTTTATAGCCCAAAAGATGCAACGTAGACCACAATGCATCACGGCTGCATATGGAACTGTGGGATGCCTTTCAGACCGGTGTCAAGCCATATACATGATCCTGCCAAATATATGACACTACTTGGGGGTTTTCAATGTACCTGACACAAGGAGTGTGAGGGGTTTAGTCGTGATGTGGGAAACTAAAGTAAAATCTAACCTAACCCCAATCGTAGGTATAACCCTAGCCCTGACCAATGACCCCAACGTTAACCCTAACCCTAACCCTAACCCTAATCCTAACCAACCCTAACCCTAGCCCTAAACACCTGACTTCTCACGTATGTGGCAGCTCAAGGATTTGATGTACACAATTCTAAACAATTCTTATGTAACATTTTACTGAGAGGATCACCCGATTTACACCCAGATACACCCAAACGGTTTGTATTAGATTCTTACGTAGCCTACAAAACATGTTCTTCCTTACCATTTATTGATCCATTTCCACCCATTTGCTGTTCTCTGTTGTTTTTTGTCATGTATTTTGTCACTGTATACCTGTATGTCTGGTGGTGAGTTTAAAATTAGATACAGCTAGAGTATCTCACCACCATACCTTGTATTGTCCATGTTGAATTGTAAATTTAAAAAAAAGGATTTGGCTGAACCCCAGCGTGCCGTACCTTGGTGACAGTCCGTCCCCCTCAGCCCCGCCCCGCACGAGCAGCCGTACGGAGGCAGCAGGCAGAACAGCATGTCTGTACAGTTTCCACCGCAGGTACTCTCGCAATCGTACCCGTATGTATTAGGGCCACATCCTGAAACAGCACAGGGAAAAGAATAAGACTAAAATATGTTATTCAGTAATATAAAATGTAGCCCATCCCTAGTACCCAGGCCAATTGCCAGTATAACCTGTTGAGTTAAAACTGTCCTGACACTGATATCGGACTGGAGAGTCAAGGAGGCACACCCCAGTTTATTTCGCAAAACAGTAAAGCTGGCTTCACACTGTCTATGACCTGCGGCCGAGGTTTCGATGGCCATAAAGTCATCGACGTCTAAAGATATAGATCTACAAATCACATGTCTGTATCATGTCAAATTGGACGCGGCTTGGTGACCTGCGAACAGTGGCCGACTATAAAATCGCGCAAAGATCATGAGTACACAGCCTTGTTTGTCTCCAAAATGCGCTTGTTTATTTTCTCCAGACAAAAAAAAGGCTGACAAAATCATCGGAAAATGTTAGTGAGAGCTCGCAGACTCGTCAGGCGACCTACGTACCGTCTGTGTGACGCCAATTTAAAGAGAAACTGTCTTGACGAAAATAATTTTGGCTTTCTGGAGGTGACGAATCACGTGGATCATCAAGGAAGCGGTCTGATTAAGAATGTCAACCCCAGTGATAACCCTGGACGAGGGGATACAAACTGAGTCACATTTGGGATTGTGTTCTCACCGTAAAAGCGCTTCCTACATATAGCGGCGAGGAGCAGTACTCCAGTCAGAAGCTCTGAGGAAGATGTCTGATAAACATCAAAACGTACGCAATGCTAGAGAAGTACTGGTTGTGTATAAGAAACCCCCCAAATCAAAGAAACTGACCTATTTGACAGACATCTCCGGTGAACCCTGGCGGACACACACACCGGCCGTCCTCTCCGCACACCCCGCCATTCTCACACGACAGGCAGGGCTGGGAACAGTCTGGTCCCCACAGCCGCTCGGGGCAGTCTGGAAGAAAACATCAACAACAACAACAACAACAACAACAACAACAAAAAAAAACATTTCATCGGCAGTGGCAATGTTTAGTTGTGTACAAAAAAAGCCGGCCTGTCATTATTTCAGTCACCCACACCCAGTAAACGCCCCATGTTGAACATCAGGTGACAATATCATTATGGGGTGATTCTCACAAGTTTATAAAAATATATAAATCCGTACCTGTGACAAGCAGCTGCACTACAGTCCGTTGGGTCCCTTGTCGGACATCTGATACAGACATTTCGTACATCCCGCCGTCCTTCCGGCTTGTGACGTTCTGTCTGATGATGACATCCTGGTTCTCAGGGAGAAGGGCGCCTGCGCAGTTGGGACCAGGTTGGTACAGCCGCCATGACAGATTGGCTGTAGGAAGGGCGCTGTCTTCACGCACGGCCATGGTGAGAGTGACGTCATCTCCCACATGGGCGGTCATAGAGAAGAATGGAGAGAAAATCGGGCTATAGAAATGAAGAAAAATGCACATTCTAACAACAATCTACAGTGCAGTAATAACATTGCGTTGCCTGTGGTCAATTCTGTACCAATAATACCACAAATGCACATTTTAGTATTGAATAATGACATCACGTCAACTAATGACACGCCTACAATAAAGTAGAGGGTGGATGGAATGCCTAGGAGACAGAATTTCAATATAGAACAGGATTTTGGCTCAGATTTATTTGGAACGTACCGTTTGGCGGGAAAATTGAAGTGTCAATGGAGACACGTTCACCCTCGAAGTTCTCACACCTGTAGATACCGGCTCTGTCCGTGTCTGCTGATGGTGGGAAATAATACATCCTGCCGTAACCATCTTCAACCTACAGAAAGGACACAAGAAGGCAATCAGTGATGGAAGTATATACTCCATTTATGTGATCGGTAACATACGCAGGCGTGTGTGTGTGTGTGTGTGTGTCTGTGTGTGTGTGTGTGTGTGTGTGTGTGTGTGTGTGTGTGTGTGTGTGTGTGTGTGTGTGTGTGTGTGTGTGTGTGTGTGTGTGTGTGTGTGTGTACAGTTAGTGACTGTGTGTGCATGTGTATGTGTGCGTGTGTGTATGAGACTGTGTGTGCATGTGTATGTGTGCGTGTGTGTATGAGACTGTGTGCATGTGTATGTGTGCATGTGTATGTGTGCGTGTGTGTGTGTGTGTGTGAGACTGTGTGTGCATGTGTATGTGTGCGTGTGTATACATTAAAGCTCAGCCGACCAGAGACTTTTAGGCTGTAATACATTATGAAATTAATCAGGCCACAACCATTTGCCATTTGGCTAGACTGATAAAAACGCCTAAAACACGCCTAAAAATAAGCTGAAGTCTAAACCTCTGTTTGGAGAGCGCGTCCGGAGTACAGCGGTGATGTGCCCACTGTCGATGTCCTTGGTGCTGAAATAGGGGGTCCGTAATATATATAACCTACTGTACAACGTGTGTGTCGTATTGAAGTGCTATATTTCCGCCCACAGGCCCAATCCTCCCAAGAGCGTGTAACGTTAGCAGCGGCCGCAGTACAATAACGGCGCGTCTACTGGCGATGTCCTTGGTGCTGAAATGGGGGTTCCCCGCGTTTGTCCGAATTTCCCGAGACTGTATGAGCCTGGCATGGCGTCCCGGCGCCGCTCCGAGCCTCGGCAGAACTCTCAGCCAAGTCCGCAGCACAGCGGTGATGTGTCCACGGGCGATGTCCTTGGTGCTGAAATGGGGGGTCCATTATCCCTACTGTATATGTATGTACATTATACGGTCTGACAAACAGCCAGCTAGCTTGGTATGGCGACCGCTTGCTGCTCCGAGCTTTCACAAACTGTAGTTTCTACGGAAGCAATACTTGGACAATCACAAAACGTCTTGAGAGAAAGTTAGTATTTGGAAGACCTTGTTCACAAAATTGTCACCCCTTTTTGGATGTCTCTGGTGACTGTTTCACCTTATTTGAATCGGACGGTATCCGGAAGTGGAACTCGTGTTCCTCTCCTACTTTCCTGGTCTTGTTCGGTAAGAGATACTGAGGCTCTGGCCCAGAGAGCCGATAATTTTATTTTCCTTCTGAAAAGGTACAACTTAGGGTCGTAAATTACAGGTGATCCCTTTTCTTCCTGGTGTTAACGTTAACATAAAGACTAATGGAGTTTGGAACTTTATGAGAATGCTTCTATCAAACAATCAGCACGATACAGTTGAAAAGTATCAGCGTGGGACATTCGGACGACTCTCCATGTGAACTCGATAACTTGGGGGTGTTTTCAGCAGTGCTTTTAGAGTTGTTGTTCCTGGCTTTATCATTTTCCGGTAACGGCGTCGCCATTATCAGCTGAAATGGAGACCGAGTTAGACGACCTCCGAGAATGGTCCAGATTAACATCCCACCCTGGAAGTCCTGGATAAGTGCCCGGTCGTGGACTTAACAGCGCCAGGGTAATGGATCCCTGTTTCGTGATGTTTTCTTCTTCTTCTTCTTCTTCTTCTTTAATCCCAGTTGAAGACGAGTCGGTGAAGACTAGATCATCACTGTGATGATCTGTTTGACCTCTTGAGGGTACATCAGGACAGGAAATAAAGGGGCTTTACCGTGCAACAACGCAACCACTTTACCGAGTCGGAAGTTCATAAAATGTGCCCATACATTGTACACGACATGAAGAATGGCTTAAAATAATGTAATAGAATATATACACTCATATGAAATTTGCACTTTCGGCAATAGAGGATTACGGATGATAAACGCATCTATGGTGACATGACTTCTGATAACGACGAGCCATTAGGACGCACTAACTCCCTTATTTATTTAGCTTACTTCACTGTTCTGTCTGAGTCATTACCTCTTGCCCGTTCTAAGAAAGGTGAGTAGGCGGACACTATATTTCAAGTCTTCCCTTTGGGCCCTTACGTCAGAGCACGGCCGGTTCTGGGCATCTCCATATTTAGACAAAGCAACAGACCATTACACATATATATATGTATCCTGGGAAATGACTCGTTGGGACAAGATAAGGAACAGTGTACATCTGAAAAATATGTACATGCTGTAGGCGGCGTGTATATCAAAGGGAACACAAACAATGTACCTAGCTGTGACTGAGGAAAGAGAAAGAATACAAACATGTCTTCACAGTACCCGTTAAAGCTATATGTAGAATTTCGATAGAACCATACCAACTAGTAATCTTGCTACCTGCCATACATTTTACCTGTTATAATCGTTATGCAGCAAACTTTGACTGTGACTTTAAATTTACATAGCTAGGCCTCCACATCCGACAATGCCATTCATTCATTTTATTCTATTTTAGCAGTAGCATTCTCCAATGCAACTTGGAGTTATAACTTGGAATAATACAGACAAAATTTTTGAGCAGGAATGGTGCAAAAGCACAACATACCAGTAGCTGACTAAATGTCCTTGCCAAGTACATTATTCGTTTTAAATGTGCACTTGATAACGTTTGCATGGCTCGACACGACAGAATTACATCGGATAGAATAATTCTGACAAGATGGAAATATTCAGAAGAATATTCAAAGTCTCGAAAGCTTTCAAAAACTTTTTGTGTGTAAAAGTATAAAAGTTTTTATTAGTAACACAAGCATCTTCTAGTACGATGCAATGGTAAAAGAAATGAGTAAGAAATGTTAAAAACTGTATAAGGAAATACACATAAAGACAGCTGTGCGGAAGGCCCAAGGCAGCATGGTTAATTACGGAGCTGGGTAAAGAGAGCTCTCGTTTTAAATCAACACTGTACCTCACATGTACGGAATCCCAGATTATCAAATGCCGCTGTCGTCAAATGAGATCTTTATTCTCTCATCACAGGTGCAGCCGTCTTGGCTTATTATTGTCTAAACCAGCCTTTCTGTTTAAAGTACCTTGTACAGATGGTTTTAAAGGCATCCAGTGCAGTTTTTAGGGCTTGGAAACCTGATTTTTCAAAGCTAATATTCTAGTCATTCATCTGCATATTGAGTTGAAACCACACTATCCCAATGTATATGGACCGTCATGGAGCAAAAGTTCCCAACATTTTGACGGAAAATGGTTACTGGAATGGGATGGGACTAGGTAAGGTAAGGTAAGGTTACTGGAAGGGCCATGGGTGGATTTTTAGGGTACCACCCAGAAAATAAAGGATTAATCTTGGGGCTTGTTTCTGCAGTTTTAAATGCCCAAAGTCTGAAATGCTGATTGAAATGTGTTAATGTGAAGCAGTATGTGTCAATATCACAAACATTGCCTTATTAAGAATATTTCCACTTTTGCTGCGCTGAAATCGCATTGGATGCCTTTAATAGCGTTAGGAACAGCGGGTTTCAATGCCTCACCCTTACCTTAGTGTAGTACGGCAGAGCCTGGCCGGGACACAGACGTTTCACCATCGTGGAACCAAAAACGCCGGAACAATTCAGCGACACCGTCTGGTTCACTTCTGGATTCACAGGCGTTTTCACCAGCAGCAGCTTGGAACTAACACCTTTAAAAACAAACAGACGACTTGGAAAACTCGGCTTGAAATTACAGAGAGAGAACTTTTTTTACACAACAAAAGTACAGTGACTTTCGTAAGGTCTAAAACTGCATGTAGACATACAGACAATTATACATGGGTACAACGAAATTAACCTGCGTACAAAACAATAGATGAGTCAACTAATACTACTTGCTCTAAGGTCTAAACATTCTTTGATATATTTACCTATTTGTACACAGTAAGGGTTATTACCTTCTAAGATGAAATTAAATTTATCTATAGCTTGAAATGTAACAAATTCTGTTGAGCAAGCGGAAGTTATAACAAGCATTTTTCTAAAGATTTTGTTGAGAATTTATGCTGAAGATAGTGGGGGTAACAAAACTACAAAGATTGCAGTTCAGATTCAACACAGTTGTGTACAACATGTTGTGCGGACTCACCTACTAATCCAAGGCACATCCAGATCAGAACGAACCAGATGTGATATCCCGCCATGCTGGACCGCGCGGCTGACTTGAATGGGAAACGAGAGCACATCTATGGTGATGTCTGTCTGTACATCAGACTGTACCATTGCCAGGGGGGGGGGTGCAGCTATAGTTAGCACTGACCTGTTGTATCTGTTTGACAGAGAAGCCTCGTGGTACATATAAGTAGGATCTCCCATCAGTGAATAGTTTCATCAGGTTGGTAAGAGTCTGTTGAATAAAGGAGGAAATCTACTCCTGCTATGAACCGTGACGAGGGGGGATACAGACTCGTCACGTTTGGGACCGCATTCCTAAAACGTAGAGGTTAATTGCATCAAAGATTACCATGTATATATATTACAGTGCTGTACCTGGGCCGCATTGTATATACTGTTCCCTGCAACTGTTGTTTTTTCTTTGTATATATCGCACTCCTGTGCGTTTGGGACCGCATTGCAGATACTGTTTTCCATGTAGATATGTAGATATTTTACTAAAATCTATGGCAGTATCACTTGTCCTGTGCAGTGTTAACCAGTCAGATTTACCCTGAGAAAACGTCTGCTGTTTAAAAACTTGGTTGTTTAAAAAGAGTTGTAGGATTTGTCTTTAAGATATACGTTGCTAAAATGGTATCGCCTGAGGACTACCTACTCTTTCTTGTTTATTTGTTTATTTTGATTTATTAGTAAATGCAATGGGGAAAACGCACGAAAGACTTCCACCCCGTAGGCTCTCTTCACTGCACAAATATCATAAAACATCTGGCTTTATCAAGTCATCGGAACAATAACGATCAACGGAAAAGGTGCCCTTAGTGGTGAGTTTTAATAAAGATAATGTTGTACATGGAGAGGATGGTAAACACGTGGAAATGAAATGTTTGCTGATTTGACAGGTTACCTCGGAATGTACAGTACAGTCGTGAGGAGGGTGTGTGATCAGGACAGGTTTTCTGTTTGCCAGAGTTCAGCCTGGCTGTATGGACAAATATGAACATCCGGAAAATATTTGTCAAAATCTGAGAGAGTGAAGTGTGTCATAATTACCTCACACAACGGAAGTTAGCTGCGTATTTCCGCTGTGTCATCCATGTGTATATTCCTGTGTTAGTTACATACAAAATGTCTTTTAAGGTCTTCTTTTCATGTCGATTGTGGTGTGATTTGGTAAACACTGCTGTTTGCGAAGGCAAAACTTTTTCACCTCCATGAAAAATTGAGGAATTGTACAGGTACAATCAAAGCTGTCCAAGCCGGCCACCCAATGGACCAAAGAAAAGTGGTCACCTTGGACAGGTGGTCTCCTTGAAGAGGGTCGCCTCACAACATGACTCCATTCCATACACATGGTAAATCGTAATAAATAAGCACTTAGTCTTCATGACATCTTAGCCAGGCATTTTTGTTATTCCAACATGTAATCACTGGCAGACGTGGTGACGGCACACTGAAGTTTTTCCAACTTATATTAATGCCGCCACCAACACAGGGGACAATACAATACTCATTTTCACCTGAGCGAAGTGAGGAAAGTCGTGTTAAGTGCCTTTCCAAAGGGCACAAGATCAGTGGCATGTCAGGACTCGAACTTGGGACCTCTTGGTTCCGAGTCGAGCACTCTGCCGCTACGCCACACGACCACACAAGGCATTTCTTTGTGGTCAAAATATGGTCATTTATATTCTGTTCTGTACAATAAACACACAGAACTGCCCAAAATTTCATCTGTAAAGTCGAGGTGTTGTAATCTTATCCGTGAACTTTCCCGGTCGCAACAACTCAACAAACACACGAGCACGATTTGTCAAGTGTGCAACCCCCCCCCCTCAAATTCTAACCGGAGGAACAATAGAACAAAAGCCCACCATTCATGAATTTCACACTTTCCCTAAATGTGCTTAAATCTTGTTTTTTAAGTCTACACACTGTATTGTCTCATTCGTTGTTGCATTGTGTAAGATTTCAACATTTGCCAAGAAAAGGGCTCACTCAAAATGGCGCCTGCGTGCAACAGCGACCTTTGCCCTGAAATACTAAGGCGTGAGATCTGTCATGGACAGTAGTTGTTCCCTTTACTTTAACGTAACTATGGAATAGAAGCAAACTGACCCGCTGTTCTTGCCGGCCAATGATATCCTTGTCCTCGTCGGTAGAGGGCGTGCCTACGATTCCTTCTATTGGCTGAGAAAATACTAGTAGCTGGTATCTTGAATTCGGTGAGTTCCACCAAAATGGTGGATTTCCTGAATAATTTTGCCAATGATCTTTTCTCCGACACCAACCCACATGCGCATGCGAAATATCAAGACAGACCACCCACGCATTCTTGAGTTCTCGTGTCTATACGGACATACAGAACAACACACACGTGCTTAAGCCCCACCCCAAACGCCGTTATAATATGCGCCCCCTAGCGGGACTCACGAGGAACTGACTTTGTGAAATGAAGGCGATCGTTAGAGCGGCAGAGTAACGTGGCGACAATAAAAAGTCCATTACTCATATATAGACTCCCTACCGGATTCCTTTGGTTCTGCAACCAAACTGTAGTTTTACGTAGAGGTTGTTCTAAACATACTATAGTCATGACCTAACTTTGTTATATGGCTGAAAACAAACATGAGGGGATTTATTTATGGCTTCACCACAAAGTGGTGAAGACATATTGTGTTCCCTCATGTTTCTTCTCCTTCTCCTCCTCCTGTCATTTCTTTAAATGGATTCATCTCTGCCATTTTTAGGCCAAATAACACGAAATTTGGCATGAAGGTAGAGTGGGCAAATACCCTGACGAGTTTTTTTCATTTTTTTGAAAAATTGTTTTATTTGGTTTTTTTGGCCATTTTCAGGCAAAAAATATACATTTTGAGATCTGGCTCCCAGGTACTAAAACCAAATGACCTGAAATTTGGTATGGGGATACCTTGGACATATGTCTACAAAAAGTCATTCAAACTTTTGACATATACCACTATAAAATTGGGAAAAATAAGGCTTTTTGGCTATTTTCGGACCAAAAATGTACATTTTTGGCTCCTGTGCCCTAATATTAAATCTGAATGACCTGAAATTCCGTATGTGGATACCTTGGACACATGTCCAAAGAATACCATTAACGCTTTTGACATATACTACTTTAAAATTGTGTAAAATAGGGCTTTTTTGCTATTTTCGGACCAAAAATGTACATTTTTGGCTCCCATGCCCTAATATTAAATCCGAATGACCTGAAATTTGGTATGGGGATACCTTGAACAGATGTTCAAAGAATGTCATTCACGATTTTGACATACACCACTTTAAAGTTATGTAAAATAGGGCTTTTTGGCTATTTCCGGCATTGGAAGGTTCCATTGCTGCATGGGGGTGTAGACTATTGGCAGCCATCGTAGGATAGATCCATTTTCGGTATGGGGGATGTGGTGAAGCCATCTGCTGCATTTGCTCTCAAGCAAATGTCGGCCTTTCTAGTTTGTGGTTTGTGTCTCTTTGAGAACTGCAAACAATATATTTTGTAAGAGATTTTGATTAAAACAGAAAAACTCAAGAGGAATGAAGGCTGTTAGCTGTTAAGTAGGCTGGTAGAGGATAACATGTTTGTTAGATTTCCTAGTTTGAGCTGCCAGGAGGCCCGAAATTTTACAACGTCTTGCGAGCTCCAAAGCACATTCATCACAAAAGCCCCAAGAGCGCGGTACGCGCAGAGGAAAGGATAAAAACAGAAAGCCAAACATGATATCCGTTACGACCTTACAGAACGTGTATTAAAATGCAACCATTTCCAGCAAGCACCAAAAGAGGTAGCAGCGCGCGGTCCGCTTTTATTACCGCGGCGTAATCGGAAGTGCGGGAACATGATTACCGTTTAGTCCACAGCAAGTAATTTTTATGGATGATATCAGCGCGCATTAATTTTCGCCTGATTTTGGAAAAAAAAAACAAATTTTGTTGCCTTCTGACAGTCATCAACACCCCGAAAATAGGCAAAGATGTCTGCTGCCATGCTTGAAGGTGGATGGCAGATAACTATGAAGAGATGAGACTAAAGAGATAAAAGGCTCTGAATTAATGTTTTGTTTCTTACTTTGATGCAGGGATATGCTGACTGTGTATATGTGATGTTCCCATTGAATAAAAACCATCTGTACAATGATTGAGTTAAAATTTTAAAATGTAGGAACCTTGTTTTTTTCGGCTGGCCTTGTTTTTTTTCGCCCGCTCGCATTACATTTGGAGTCTGTGATGTCATTCATAAAATTTACTTGCTGTGGCCTTAGTATATTTCGTCGTCGTGTCTGTAATCATAAACCTCCTCATATAATGGAGAGGGAAACGTTTTATTTTCCCCGTGTCTATTGTTAATCCATGTGAGTGAGGTCGTGGCTGTTGAGTCCCCGAAACACTTGAGACCAGGTGTTGACTGTACAGAGGGTTTGCCTCCCTCGCCTTGAACATAGTTTTGCAGATCAAAATCGGTAGGTACAACCAAACTCCCCCAAATAACAGAATTTGCACTCTATGTAACTATAACTGTATAGAGGATAAAGCACACTTTATCTTAAAATGCTTGCTATACACTGACATCCGGAAATCTTTTTAGTTCCTTACAGTTAGAAAGGAAATATACATACTTACCGCGAAAATAGAACTGTTCAAACATATTAAGACATCCAAGCACTACGATGTAAATGAAAAACTATGTAAATTTGTTCATACATGTTTCAAAAAGAGAGAAGAGATCCTGTAGATAGAGACGTAGCACAGAAATGTAACACTTGTTACCTCCATGAAAAATGGAGGTATTGTTTTTGGCGTGTCTGTCTGTATGTATGTCTGTGTGTCTGTCTGTGTGTGTGTCTGTGTGTGTGTCTGTGTGTGTGTTTCCGCAACTTTGTAGTCAGCATAACTTCAGAACGCCTTTATGGATTGTGATGATATTTGTTCTGATGGTAAGTCTTGGAAAGACAAAGGTCAAGGTCAAGTATGGGTCTCCTGGTGGATGACCTTGGTACTGCAGCAGAACTTCCGGTTTTTGTATCTTTTGTCCTGAACAAGCTATGGTCT